GATTCCATATAACCGGCGATCTGTTCAAATTTACGATGTCGTAACTGACATTTTGGTTGCTTCGCATCGGTACAACTACGGAGTCATAAATTTACCCCTAACTACTGTTTATCTCCTTTGGAGAAAGGCTTACTACCTCGATACAAACAAAAACAGTCTCCTATAAAGAAGTACCAATTTGTAAGAGTTAACAACTACAATGTATTATATTGTAATCATCACAGAGAAGAAAAGATGAAATCTTCCATTCTTCCCCTCTAAAAATCGTTTTGTAAATTTACTCATATTCTGTACAAAATGTTTTTATTCTAGATATAACCAAGGACAATGTCCTTGATATAACAAATATTAACTAATTGAGATTATGGTACAGATAGACACATACTTCCCTTTCCTAGTGTCATCTTAGTCAGAAACTGCTAGTGTAATTTCTGTCACCTTCTGTGTAAAACGATTACTAAAACCGTTATGTAGCTTAGTAAAACGTGTTGTAGTTTATTAATATATAATTATCTTAGCTTGAATACTTTTGAGGTAAGTTCTAGGATAGGTCGGTTCATGTTCCCACATTCTGATGTCGTCATAACCCTGAAATCTTTTATATTCGAGAATCATCTAGAAAAAAAAAACAGACGTAAAAAAAACCTTCCAAACGCTGACAAAAACGTGGCAATTTTGCTATGTCTCTGACTGAGCATCCCGTCCGTTAAAAATATCCCATGTTGGCAAAAATAATTTGAAGAGGAAAACTTAAAGCCTGGATAACTACGAAAAAAAACATCGTATTTTTTGTCGGTCAATTTTTATGACTTCCCTTTCCCTCTTTCAACCGTGTTGCAAGTGCTTTTAATGAAGAACATCGTTTAAAATTACATCTATACGAAAGTGTTTCCCTCGCATGCAAGAATAATGCAAAGAAAATGTATAATACATCCCTCTAGCTCTCATTGCAAAAAAAATAATAAATTCTGTTTCAAATTTATGATACGTCTTTTTCAAGATGACGAGAGACGTAAGCTATGCGGTGGTACCCTATGTACGGTACGCACACATACGGAACCCCCACTCCTAGGCCTCCTCTAGTTCTTGCCCAACCGCCATTCGGGACAGCTCCTTTTTTTAGGGGGGGTCGACAGGAATTCAGCCGGGGCAAACAACAACCCAAACCGGTCCTTCTGGCTATATGCTAATCAGAGACAGTGCAAGTAATGAAGGGTAAAAATAAAGCAGGCGAAGTCTTCAGTAAAGGGTGGGTAACCTGGTTATGGTAACCTGAATGAGGCCAACGAATACATTATGTTTCGCATGACATGACGTTATACGTTATAAGCTATGCACATTTTTATCGAATCTAATACAACATATTTCAACAGATTAGATGCTACAGACAGATTTATATATCTATATTCAAATGAAATAACTCTCAAAATGCAAAAATAGGTAAATACATATGAAATACTGTTTTTTATTAGAAAAAATACCGAAAATCAAGATTAGTCATACTTGATTGTATATCATACATTTTTGTACTAGCACTTGATGTTTTAGTACCTAGGATTTTAAGCTTCATTTTATAGCCTTTTCTTTTCGTGCTATGTTCAATAATAGTTGCCATACATTGTAGTATGTGCAACTATTGTGCAATAAAGTTTTTATATGGCTCCTTCTCCGAACGTTATAAGATATAACAGATAATATAGCACAATCCTGAGGCAAACAAGACTCTTATAGTACAATATAGTACAGAACTAATAAAATATGAAAATACACCTGTCAAAACCTATGTGGAGCGTAATACAAAAGGTAAATCCCAAAACGTAGCTGCCAGTTCGCAATGTAAAAACTGTCAGCTCTGATATACTTGTAACAGGTTATAGTGTGCTTGTTTCTCCTCTATGTAATTCAACGGGCCCCCACAATGTATGTATCTCGTCAGTACCCGTAAGGTGTACTTGGAAGTGATAATAGAACCCTTTTAAATCACTGCCTAGGATTTTTGCGGAACTGCAAGTCTTGATATTAAAGTGCAACATCGTGAAAGCCTCAGGCAGCTAAAAGGGCCCGACCTCAACCACTTTGTCGTGCGCAGAACAAGGGTATATATTATACTTGGCACTTACTGGTAAAACAATGTCCACACGATGACTGTTACATACAAATTGTCATCGTGGCTTTAAGCCAACTTTTTTATGGGGATGTAAAGGTGGAAGATTCAATCCCCCCCCACACACACACATGGACCGTTATGGCTATACTGTATCTTTTTATACAGAGAGGGTATCTTTGTATGTTCTACGTAGTTCAAGTGAATTCATGTATTGCCATGTATAGCATACATATAAGAGAATGGCGCAGCCATATATTGTTCGTACAAGAAGTAACGGCACTTGAATATTGATACTTTTGGCAAAGTATCAGATAACCCTTTGGCAGGGACCACTCGGGTTATATATAGTCATCGCATTGACAATAAACATGTTGGCAATCTTCCAGCAGAAAACACGGCAATCGGTGCAGGTCAGTGACGTTGGGAGATCGATGCCCGGGAGTAGAGCAAACGTCAGTTTTCACTTAGCTAAGGCCAGGTCACATTCATCGTGCGATTGTCGTACGATCGGTTTACGATCGTCGTAGGATAAGATTGCGATCGTCGTACGATCAGTTTGCGATTGTCGTACGATCAGTTTGCGATCGTCGTACGATCAGTTTTAAATCGTCGTACGATCAGTTTGCAATCGGCGTACGATCAGTTGGCGATCGTCGAAAAATGCTGCTATCTTGTTACGGAAAAGGCTGTCATTAGCTCATTTGTCGGTCGTTGGTTCTGTCACAACCTGCTTGGAAGTCGTAAGACATCCAAATCGTACGACAACCTACGACAAATGTGACCGCGCCGTTACCTGAAGTCTTCTGGACGTCCTCGACGGAGGTTTGCTTGGAACTTACCTTTCTGCTTGTTGGGCGATGTGCTTGCTTGTCGCAATGCTGTATTATTCTGTTCCTGTATGTTGAGTGTTCCCCTTTTCATATTTTTGTCTCATGTTGTAATTATTATTTTTATGCCCAGTGGTGACGTTGATATAAGCTATTTCGCTTGAAGTGCGTCACCACTATGTATTATTCTGCTCAAATGTTGAATATTTTTAAAATTCCACATAGAAAGGATGATTTGAAATTCGCTTCGCGCTCAGCAGAATAGATTTATTTCTGCCGAAAAAGTAGCATGGTTCCGTTTTTGATCTAAAATGTATCAATTTTCTTCGCAGTATGTCATTGCGACGATACTCGTATGTAATTTATCTACCGGCAGGGGTATTATCTTGTCACACTAAACGTGCTTCAACGGACAAAGGTGTAATTCTCTAGAACAGCTGGTTGAAAAATCATTCTCCTAAGAATATAGTTTTCTATTCTCTGGTTTCAAATGTGCCTTTTGTGGCGCAGAGAATGTCATTCTCGTATAGGACTGTCCAGCCAAAGCTGTACGGCTGATATCGATATATATCTACCAGTGTTAGGATTTTACCATGGTAAATATTGATTGAAGGAGGCCGTATATAATTCTCTTGTTCCAGCAAACATATCTTCATATTTTTTTTAAATATTTCAGATCCTTTAGGTCTGGAGTGTGAACATTTTAGAAAATGTACGTGCTAGTACATATATAATTCTCGTTTCAGTACAGTACACATTTCATATTTTTAAGATCCTTTAGGTGTAGAGTTGAAGATTCTCGGTCATTCTGAACCTGCTGGTACATATATAATTTTCTCGTAATAAGACAATTTCTTAACATTTTTAAATATTTCAGATCCTTTAGGTGTAGAGTGTGAAGATCCTGTCGACCATTCTGTGTGTGTTAGAACATATATTGAATTTAGTAAGTGAATTCTCTTGTTTCAGAACACATTTCTTCGTATTTTTTTATATTTCAGATCCTTTAGGTGTGGAGTGTGAAGATTCTCGGTAATTCTGCACGTGTCGGTACTGTGTGAGACCACACGCGGGCCCCTGGCTTAGCTTACGGGACCTTTCCGTACTCCGGGCCGCTGTAACGTGCCTGGGAGACGGCGTGTTATGGACGTGAGCACGCCATTGACAACGGCTGTACGTATGTGCTGAAAAGTAGGTCGGGGGATCTGAGGACACGGCCGCGGAGAGAAGCGAAGTGGGTCAGGGACAACACTCAACAGCAGCGCGGCCGGGATAGCCACGTGCGCGCGGAGGGAAACGCGATCGCACGGGGATTCGCAGAAACACTAGCCTCTACCAGGCTTCAGAAGGGGCTGGAAAGAGTAGAAATTTGCCAAATAGGCAGATAACATGCCAGGGGAGTGAATTCGTTGAATGAGTACAGTTTACCGCTTCTAAAGCCAGGTAGTAGCCTCTACCAGGCTTCAGAAGGGGCTGGAAAGAGTAGAAATTTGCCAAATAGGCAGATAACATGCCAGGAGAGTGAATTCGTTGAATGAGTACAGTTAGCCACCTCTGAAGCCTGGCAAAGGCTTAACAGAAAACGCGTTCGGAAAACACCTTAAATGTTTGATGCATATCATGCGCGACATGTTTTAAAAATAGCCTCTACTCGGCGTCAAAGGCGGCTGCAAAGATTGGAAATTGGCCAAATAGACAGATAACAAACACACATTCTCATTCCTTTCTTATAAAAGCTGTAATGAACATGTGTAATATTAGCAGGTCGAATCCAGCTTGCAACATACCAGAACTATATTTACTATTTCAAATGGTGAGATCCTAATTTGACTCAAATTAAACTTAAATTAGATTCGCATAGAAAGGTAGGCGTGGCCTAAAGTTGGTTAGAATGCTCCCGAACTTCAGCCAACTTTGTTTGGTAGCCTAGTAACCAGACATATTTCAGCTCTCGAATCTTACTTGCGGAGAGGATAAAGACTCGGCGCTAATAGGTCTGGTAACCAGGCTAGTGGTTGGTGGTCAGGGGGAGGTTCTGAATGTGTGACGGGAGATGTAGTCCTTACCTGCCGCTTGCACGTGTGCATCTTTACTGCGTATGGCCCCGGCGGGGCTCTTCACCAGGCACCAATACGTCCCCTCGTCCCCACCCCTAGGTCTATGAGGTCTGAATGAAAGTATTTTAAGAGTCCCATTCGTGTGGAGGAGGTAGCGACGAGTGTCGTTGACGATGGCTTCCCCGGGCTGGTCCAGGGGCCGTCCGAGGGGCCGGCGGTGCCACGTAACGTTGACGGGCCCCCCTTCCCCGTCGCCCCGGCAGTCCAGCCACACCGTCTGGTTCTTCTTGGCTACGACATCCTGAGGTTCCGTCAGGAAACCGAGATGCGAACAGAACACAGCTGTACGTGAAGAAAGGAAGAGGCAACGTTAGGACATAACTAAGCAGTCTTGTCTTTCAAGGGCTCGAAATACCAATTTTGTGCAATTTTGTTCAGGTAAAATTGGAGCTGTGCATATGTGATGCAACATTCTTTACGTGCTACAAGGATCTTGCCTTTTAATTGTAACGTCTTCTTACTTAGATTTATAATTTTAACTCGTGCACAGAAGTAACGCTTTGCTATTCTTTACATGATAAGAAGATATAATGCGTTGCCACGTATGTTAACAATTAAGCAAAATTAACACCGAATGATATAAACATTGTCAGGATATCAGTCCATGGATGTCTTTGGCGGCGGTGGTGACAGTGATGGTGGTGGCGGTAGAGAATGGTGCGTTGGCGGGGAAATTTCCCCAGTTTGCCGAGGCTTCCAGGTTAAAAGTTCGCGCTTGGGCCCGAGTACTTGCCGGAACGCACGTAAAAAGCTACCTTTAACATGGCAGCATTATATAAAGAGTGACGCAGTTCGCAAACAGGCCTGGCGTTTGAAGCAACGCACCGCTTAAGCCTGAGGGACAGAACAATCGCGACCATTAAGCGTTAAACGCGAAAAGGGCGACTAATACTAACAAGGAGATTAGTACCTACCTATAAAACACGTGTGCGAGTTTAAAGGAAGACAACGTTTAAAATACTACCCTCCAAGCAGAGGTTTAGATTTTTTACATGTTTTAGGGCGTTTTTATCTTACTTTTCTTACATTTTAACAGCGGTGGCAAATGGTATATTTTTTTCGGATAGCAAATGGCAACTACCTGACCAATGGTAATTCCCTGCCCAATTTGATACTATCTTTGCAGCTACCAATAAACAAAAGATCTGATTGAATGTTTAAAAATTACGACGACTATGAAGGCTAAAACTTTATGTTTTAACTGTTAAGACTAAGTAAATTGGGACTTGAACCAAATTTTCGGCTTAACATTAAGTTTTAGCTTTTTCGTCATAATGCATTGTACCAACGCAGATGAACTTTCATGCTAATCACGTTATGATGTTATGCGTCCAGTTACCAATGCTTGCGATCTACGTTTGCTGTTTTCAGGTAATGTAATCAATATTCTGTCTCCCGTAATTAAGTAAAACATGGCTATTAGCCAATGGCCATGAACTGAGATGGCCCCGTGATTGACATGTGATTGACACGTGACTGACACGTGACAGCTGTTCCATCTCTCGACCTTGAAAGCCTTTTTGGGTGAACAGGAAAAGGGGAGGGTTATCACAAGTGACAAACGTTATCCATGGCTGGCCTTGGCCTTGGCAGGGTACTAACGGAAGCACCTGTCCTTGCTCTTAGGCAAATTACGTCATTTTTCAAGGTAACCCGCTGATAAGACAGCATTACACAGAGATATGCCACTGATACCGGGTAGTAAACACTGATATGTCATGTATGAAACGATAAACTGTCTAAACGCCTAATACGGATGGGATGAAAGCTTATGATGTACAACACGCGGCGTGCCCTGTATAGCCTGGCTGCCAGCCCTTCTAGCTTCAGTATGCTTTCTTCGTCGCTTCCTTGCCGTAGCTAAACCTAACAAGACTGGCGTCCAGGCTATGCATTATGGAGAGCTAGCTGTTCGCAATCGCAGCAAAAGCAGCGTTGAGGCTCGCAACGAATTAAAAATCACGTTTCTTCACTATTGCAGTCGAAGAGAAAACGGCTGGGCAGATCCCTACATTCACATTTACACCGATCACAAACATCCATTCCATACACACTATAGTATAGGTACCCAGGGGCAGGGGCTGTGTTATGCAGTTGAGGTATGTGTTTTACATGTAACGTTGAGGTGCCTGTATGTGTTGAGGACTCCACTACATGAGGTGTTAAGTGAAAGTCATAAGACGTAATTCTTTTCAGTTTCAGTTTACTTTATTGAGATGCCCTTTACCACCTTAAGGGGCTAATCTTCCAGGGCTGCTACACAAATTACGTAGAAAGTACAGATACAGATATTTACATTCACATTCACAGTAATAAAACATTAAAGGAATTACATGTCGATTAAAAAGTCTTAACTATACATGACAATTATAAAACATACTAATACGTCAATGATAAACTTAGAAATCATTATGCGTCGATCATGGTTATTCTGAAACAAAAACAGACACACTCCTACATATATTGATGAAAACTTGTCATTTCTCTGTTACAGGGCATGCCAGAAACGTGGGGAACGTCCTAAGCAACAGAAAAAACATCAAAACAAGTTTCCACCCCCGGACAAGTACACTTTGAGATAAAACACACCCCCTCTCTCACCCACCCAACACCGTCTCCGGACGCCATCTTGACGATTGATCAGCTGCCGATGACGTCATCCACTCGAAAGACGATCTGTTATCCAGAAGTTGTCCACAGAAGTGTCCTTAGCCTGGTGCCCAGTCTTACCGTGGTTTGGGTGGGCTATCTTCGGGCCTGTAGACGACCCCAGCCGGCCAGTTCAACTAGGCTCCCCGGTAGGCTTTGCCCCACGATCGTGGTGGGTTGATCAATGACAAACTCCTTCAATATAGGCGTAAAATTCCTACCGGGGAACCTAAGTTGAACTGGGCGGTGGGGATCGTCTTCAGGCCCGAAGATAGTCCACTCAAACCACGATAGGACTGGACACTGGGCTAGTACATAAGTGTCTTG